AGCAGTCATTTTGAGTATTTATTGCTCTGTTTGATGACAAAGGGCTCTAGTACCTTCTGGGAAAACAATTATGCAAATGTTAATTAGCCAATCAACCAAACAATAATGGCACCTTTCCTTCCAATTAAATATATATTTAAAAGAAAGTATCTGTGAGGGGGAGAAATGACCTTTTTGGTCGATTAACGGTGTTGGGGATTCCTGTTGATGGAAAACCAGAGAAACAGAATGAGAATGGATGGAAATCATTGCACTGGAGCAGTTTCTTTGTTTAGGCAGCTGTAGGTTAGTGCACACACTCGGATGTCATGGGGCTCCGCTGCTCTTTGTCCGATCCACTCTCAATGTACACACGCATGCATATACAGAACAAAACAACACACGGAAACGTAAGGACTGCACACGGAAGCACTTACCGCTAATTAAGATCACGCACGGAGCTCGCGTGGGTCAGAAATGACTGAACGACACTCTCGGTCGGGTCCCCGTTGTTGTCCTCGCCGCTGCGCTGCGCTGCGCTCCGCTCCGTCCCGTCCGCCAGCCTCCTCTCCGGGTGCTCACCGCTCTTTGTACCCAGCCGTGATCTACCCTCCTCCTCGGCGTACACAGATACTACTACAACTGGCTCGGCTGTTTACGTGCGCGCGCGCGCGTGTGTGTTCTTTTTAAAAAACAAATAAATAAGTAAAAAAAAAAAAAAAAAAAACTCAAATTGAGCTCCTGGAGGAGAAGGAGGAAAAAGTCCTGGCAGCTGACAGCTTCTCACCGGCGCTGACGGAGCCAAAACGTCACCAAAAAAGTGGACGACCGTTATCACTTTTAATTCCTGATTTGCAACCGAACTGGCTTTTTAAATTCAAACTAAGTCGCGGCTGTTTGAACTCGGTTTGGCCTCACCGTCAGCCGTGACCGGTATTGTTCCCCCTGTGATGAGCGGACAGTTATCTCGAGCTTAGTTTCTGTCCAACCGTTGCGTATATTCTCTCGTCCTCCCGAAGCCGGTGTCTCTCCGCTCTCTAGGCCCCACCCACTTCATGGCTTGCTTGTGACGTAACGTCAAGGGAGCGTCAATAAACACGTTTACGTTGAAAACACGAAAACTCGCGTGAACCCCAAGAGTTGTTGGACATCCTGTTGATAAATCACAGGACTGGTCCGAGCCTTGTCAGATGTTTATTTTGGAGCCCCCCCTACACCAGTAAATCAACACTTTATCATTCCAAAGTTAGCTAAAGTTAGATACAAATCTAAATGGTTATTATTTCATTTAACCTTACAGGAGCAATATACTACTCATTATTTGGATTTTTGAAATGCAGAGTGCTATTTAAATGTACCATATTAGTTAAACTATTGAACATAATATTAGCTAACTATTAGCTAATATTAGCTAAAGTCCAGTCCTCCTAAATCCAGGGAAGATGCTTCCAACATATCTGATTCAGGAGGGCCATAAATCCATGATTTTGCTGAACTACAATCATCAGAATAAATTGTGGTAAATCATAGCATCTAAAACAGGGGTCTCAGCCTCCAGCCCCGAAAAGATTGTGTCTTTATACGTTTCCCTGCTTCTGCACATCTGGTTCCATATTAACTCATTAGCAGAACTTCACTGCATTCTCCTGAGGCAGTCTCAACATTTAATTAAAGTATTTAGGACAAGGGAGACTAAAAGATGAAGAATGTCGTTTGAGACTGCTGATCTAAAATATGCAGGGCAGTATGCCTTGAAGACAGACGTTGAGACATATGAAGCTTTGCTTTACAGTCCTCTCAAAACTTAATTTTCTTTATTGATCTCACTTTGAGACCATTAACTGATGCTTACTTGAAATAAACTCTGTACATAGTGAATCCATGTCAAACGCGAATCTACTTTTGTATTGGAGTTACTATAATAATAAGCCGCGTGTACTTTCTATATTTGTAACATTTTAAAGATTTTTGTCAGACTCTCAAATTTTAGCGCCTGCTTCATGGGCTGAACTTGGAGGACGGTCCCTGGGCGACGCGGCGCGCGAGCCGCCTATTGTTCTCGCCGCGAGCCCTGGCCTTGGTGCTGAAACGCCGCTCCGGCGCGCCGCCGACAACGATCACGCAGTCACGACTGCTTCACAGCTGTTCACGGCCGAGCCCCGAAATCACGTTCACACCCTCACTGAGCGAAGAGTGTGACAGAGGGTAGAGAGATAGCTCGGGGACGGAGTTGGCCTACTTTACGCGCCGCACTTTGGAAAAAAAAAAAAAAAAAAAAGAAGAAGAAAAAAAAAGCAGACATTGAGCTACAGCAATGCTTCATGTACTGCGGGGCTGCCAGCCATCCTTCGAGATAAAGAATTGTTCTAATTGAGACTTCAATGATGTTTCTTAATAAATTCCAATTAAATATATTTACTGACAGTAAAAGCCAATAAACAGATAAAGGTGCAGATGGGCGCTGTGAACACAAAATTAAGTGCATAGAAAACTGAATAAAGAATAACATGGCAAGAGTTAATATGCTCTGAATTACATACATATAATTCAACTTCTGCTCCTGCATTTTCTCAGAACCACAGTGGTATTTATACAAGATGTAGGTAAAACCTTGAAATGACGATAAACATATAAAATATTCATCAACAAAACAAGTCGAAACAGAGCAACTCACAAATACTCAAAAATTCAAATTTGATCCCATCATTTTTTTTTATTTTAAAAATTTTTTATACAAAGGTCTGTATAAGAGTCAAATTTTAAAAACTTTTACTTGTAGAACCTAAAAAATCTGCAATTTGAAACATTCTCTGTTTCAGTTTCTTGAAGCTTGCAACCCAGCTTTTTCAGAAGTCAAACCAACAGCACATCCAGCTTTCCTGTCTTCGATGTGTGTGTGCACCCAGAGCGCATAAAGAGAGACAGAAGGAGAGAGAAAGGGAGAGAGAGACAGAGAGAGAGGCTTGCAAAGGGTTCACTGGGTTCATGTTAATGTATTGCTAAAGGTCACCATCTGCTGGCCTCCCCTCCTTCCCTCTGTGAGTCTCTGTCCTCCAACATATAGCCCTAACTCTACACATGCAGCCTTTCATGTATAAATCCCATCACAAGGGGGTTCCCATGAACCCATCGCCCAGCAGGGCAGGGCGCTATATGCCCGCTGAGCCCAGAGGACCGCGGCGGCTTGCACCGGCAGCAGGCTGCACGCAACCAGACCTGTTAAGCCTCCCTGCGTGATGAGAAACAGGAAATGACAACTCACGCAGGTCTGTGACACGAAGAAAGGGGAGGAAATCGAAAAACAGCTTCTTCTTCTTTGTATTTCTTTCTTTTTGCCAATATTCAGACTGCAGGGTTTAAAGCTAACCAAGAGTTCCACAGAAGATTTATGGGAAACATTATAACCAGAAATTATTTATATGCTTAAAGGAATTGCAAAATCTGATGCATGTTGAAAACAATTTAATTATAATAAAAAAGTCATGCAAATAATCTGCTCCTTTACAAAGTTTGTTTGTATTTTGACTTATCAAATGAGTTTTAATATCAGTCAAGGAGACAAAATTATTGACATAATTTAGAGAAAAAATAGTGTTCAAAGCATTCTTACCCTGAAAGGAAAAATATAAACTTAGGACTAATTACAGACATGAAAAATTAAAAAAATTCCTTAAAAATAAAATTTGACCGCATAGAGTATAGATTGCCTACCTTTTGGAGATCTTTGTTTTGTTCACATTTGACAGAAAGCAACTTACCAATCCCCAAAAATGTTGGTAAAATATTGTGTTTGCGCCTCTGTGTGCATTCGGTGAAGCTGCCAGACACGGTGGTGGAAGTATGATGTACGGAGCTACTTTGCTGCTTCCAGCAATTATTGAAAGGATTGATCCTGCTCTCTGAAGGAGCATTGACAAACTTATGCTCAGTTGCACTTGGGTTATGCAACAGAACAACAATCCAAAAAATAAAGGGTTTGGAGATCCTGTGACAGAAAATTAAATTTGCTGTTGATACTTGAAAACCCTCCAAAGTTTCTGAATTAAATTAATTCTGCAAAGAAGAACATTTCTCCACAGTGAAGAAAAAGACTCATTAACGTTGTCACTGCCATCCAAGCCAACATCGAATCAGGTTAGTTTAATAATTTTTCTATGAATGAAATCATCATTTGAAAACTGCATTTTGTTGTTACTCAGGTTATCTTTGTGTGATTTTAAAAACTGTCTAATTTATCTGAAATATTTAAGTGTAATTTAAAAAGTAAAAAATAGAAAAAATCTGCAATGGGGCAAATATTTTTTACTGGAGTGTTCAAGAGGCATTTATTTTAAATGCTTTTTTCTACAACTTTTGCATAATTAATATGCCATTTGATTTTTGTCATATAAAGGAATTTGAGGTGCAAACATTTGCAAAATAATTTTAATCAAAGTGAAAAGTGTTTTTCTTCTCAACTGAAAGCAGGGAAAAGGAAATGGGAAAGTTGTTTGAACGTTGATAGATAATATAATTTTGTACATTTAACGATTTTATTAGAATATTGAAAATAAGCAGCCAGTCTGCAGGCGAAATGGGAGTAATTTACAGACTCAATGGTGCCACCATTTGGACAAACGAGGTACTCCCCCTTCACGGCACAGGAATAATTGTCACACACACCTCTTTTTTTTCCTGTTATATCAGTTTTATTTAAAATGAAACTTCGACATATACACTTCCCACACTGTTTTATAATTTTGAATGATAAAAAATGCCTGTATAGCAATAAAAACATCCTGAAAAACTCTGATGTAAGCAGAAAAAAAAAGATCCTACAGCTCCTTAGGACAGAAAATAAATTACACTTTCTTCAGATCATAGATAAATAACTATCTTTTTTTGTGGTTGCACATACATAAAATGTAATTTATACTACAAGGGATTAAAGGCAAGAATAACACATTCAAAGCCACAGCCGTGCACACACACACACACGCACGCCCACACACACACAACTCAGTCATCACTGAGGCACACCATTATGTCACTTATTTATTAGTTAGATATGGGTATATGAGGAGTGCAACGGCACGCCAGATAACTAACATTAAAGGGTAAATGCTTAAAAATAATTACAGACATTAAAACATATCTGACAAATATACAGATTCCTCTTGTTTGACGGGGCGTGAGTTTGTCACGTTGGGAGGCGTGGGAGGTGAAGGAAAGGGAAAGAAGGTCAAACAGTACTCACACTTTATACAGAGTTTGCATCTTTGATGTGCAAAATATTGAAAAGCATAAAAAAAAGCACTTGATCCATATCATATAGTGAGAGTGATTAAAAGAGTATTGCATGAAAGAAAGCAGCTTTTCCAGTCTCACTGAGATTCTGACTTCATCATCCTCTCCAAAGAAGGTGACGAGATGCAGAGGTTTACAGCAACAAGTTGTAGAATATTATATTATACAGCAACTTGCAGAGTTTTGTCACATTACAACCAAAGTCACAGTATTTCTTATTGAGATTTTGTGTGATAGGCCAACATAAAGTGGTACATAATTGTGATATGGAGGGAATACATTTCTTTGTAAATAAAAATCTGAAAACCTCTTTACTGTAATTCCCCTACAACTCATTTTAGAAAACAATTTAGAAGTAATTTAATTTAATTTTAATCCAGCTGTTCTGTGAAGTACTGAGAAGTACATTAGAGAACAATAGTGAATGAACTGCGTCATGGAGACAGGTCAAATATAAAGCTGCATGGAGATTTTTAAAGCTGGGTGAGGTCATAAAAGCATAAGCATTGGAGAAAAATGAACATCCTTAAACATCCCATCCTCTCTGTGAAGCATGGTGGTGGAAGGATTATGCTGTGGCCATGCATTTCTCAATAGGTGGAACCTGGTTAGAGATACTATTTCAGAATGATGTCCTACTTGGTCTCACACATAAAATCCTGGTAAAAAGCTTTGATATTTCTGGTTGTAATGTAACAAAACAAAAAGATCAGAAGGTACGAAGTTGTTGAAAGGCCCTTCAGAGCTCATAATCCAAAAAACATGTGCATTTGACGCTGTCAGAAAGGGTTTTCTGCATTATCAAAAACTAACCTTACTTTAGAAAGTAACTCAATTAATCTGTATGCTGTAATTTATGTTGCAGAACACATTCTGCCCAGATGTTTTAAGAAGTTATTTCTTTTTTTCTTCTCTTCTAGCTGATGTAGCTCAGATGAGGTCATTGTTTGGAAATATAAAGTAGAAATAAGTGGAATAAGCAATTGTTAGATCAGACTTTATATGAATAATTAAAGTTCTTGACAGATCTTCAGATTTGTTTAAAAAAAAAGAAAAAGAAAGAAATGAACTGCAATCATCAGTCCTCACATATAGGTGGCGCCACTGCCTGCTTTTGAAAGTCATTTGGGTTCCTTTTAGAAGCAGAAAACCTCACAATTTAAGCAAAGTATGTTGAGGGGAATCATTCTTCTTGGATTTAAGTATATGAATTATTTAGATCAGATCTTTTTTTTCTAGCGTTTTAGACATTGCTAGAAGACAACGCAGTTTTTAATCAGGGGAAAAGACACGATACGTCACAGGAAAGAACAAAAACAAAAAACAAGAACCTGTTCTGTCATGACATCTGTGTGAATTATCCATCATATATATGGAGACTCCCATCCTTCTTTCCATTGCCTTGTATTTGGTCACTTACTGTCATGCTTACCCCACCCCTTTGGTTCGAAGTACTGAATAGAAGGACACTTTAAGAAGTATTTTTTGGCAAACAGGATAAGAGCTTCAACATGTAAAGTAAAATCCTACTAGCTTTGCAGGAAGCAGTTTCATAGCTGCTACTCTAGCAGATCCACTGCACTTATACTGCAGGACACGATTCTGAACAGTCAACCCAACAATATTATATTTTATTTACATTTGCCACGTCGTGAATTGGGAAGGAAGTTGAAAAAGGCAAAGTTAGCTGCTGAAGTGTCTATGTCCTCAGTGAGACTGTTCCACTACAACCTGACAGTCACAGAAATGAGTGTAAATTACAGCAAGCACCAATGGTGCATCGTTTACTGCAGATAGAAGTCAAGATAGCTCAGAGGAAGGAGGTCACAGTTTGTCACATGTGACTGAGTACTAGTAGAAGGAATCATCTGTTTTCACAGTGTTTTACCTGAAAAAGTCAGGAGGAAATAGCTAACTGTTGTGTGAATGCCACGTCAACTCTGGACTGTACATTCCTGCAGACTCATCCTTCAGGGGTGATTGGTTGCCTTGACCTTTACCCCCTCCTCCTGTGAACTGGCTGTTCAGTGCCTCTTGGCACGCAGGGCGCTCTGTGTGCAGGAGGCGCAGCACGCCATCTTGTAGTAGGAGTAGACGCACATTCTGGCTTGCACCACCATGAGGCAATTATCACGCCTGTCCCGACAGTTTTTATCTGCAAACAGAGAGAATTAGGGACAGGTTAGAGCGGATAAAGGCCAGAAGATGCATGACTGCATGAGTCACTCACCTGCAACTTGCGGGCCGCAGGGAATGGTGTTGCAGATCTGTTCCTGCTCAGGTTTGGTGCTGGGATCGCATGCTAGGCTTTGCTCTTTGTCTGGTGTTAGACAGCGAACCTCTCTCACCTGTAAGCCTTTTCCACATGAACGAGAACACTGACAAAAAAAAAAACAAAAAAAAAACACACACATGCAGAGTGAAAATCACAGACTATCAATACAGGATGAAAAATGAGGTTCCTCATTCTATTACAAACCCACAAAGCAGCACATATAGCAATCAAGTTGAGCAAATTCAAAAAGTTTTACAAGAAAAATTCTAAAAATGTAGCTTCTATTTGTATTCAGTCTTCTTCATTTTAATATAACTAAATAAAATCCTGTGCAACCATCAAAAGGTAATGTACTTCACAAATATTGCCTTTATGGAAGAGAAACAAGAATAAAGCCATCCAGACCAAAATGGAGCTTTTTGGTCTGAGCAAGAAAGGTTGCATATCAACCTGTCAACTCCAATCTTACTGTAACACATGGTGGTGGCAGCATCATGCTGCAGGGATGCATTTCCTCAGCAGGAATAGGGGAGCTGATCAAAATAACAGGAAAACGGGTAGAGCTAAATACAGGACAATCCTAGAAAAAAAACTGACCTAAATACAGTTGGAGCTACAATAGAAAAGGTATAGATCAAACACTGTCACAGTGTTGAAATGGCCTAGCCAAAGTCAATCTGCAAAACTACAGATGAGCATTTGAGGCAAGATTGAAAAGTGTTATTTTGTATCCAATCCAACTGAAACTGAGTTATTTTGCAGAGATATAAATCTTAGTTTCTTGATGTGAAAACTCCCAAAATGATTTTGCCATTATTTACATTTCTCTTCACAATTATGATTAACTTGGCTTGTAGCAGCAGAGTGGCAAAAAATGACTAAAGTGAAAATATGAAATAAAGAAAAAGAACTATGGACACAATTAGTCCCGGTCCCTTCCTTAGTCACAGCAAAGAAGTTTTTATATTCAGTCATTTTACAAGAACAACTAATCATCTTCTCATGGAAGGGTCACATCTCATCTTTTAAGGTTGTCCGCATTGGCAAAACAAAACAAAAGCATCGATATATAAATCTAAAACATGTTTTGTGTTCTGCCCCTGTCTCTTACCGCGCTCCATTCTGTGGTGAACCACTGAGGCCGACACTCCGCCATACTGCACTCCTGGACAGCTGCAGGCTTCTCCAGATGTGCGCACTCAGTAGACGGTACGACAGTAAAGTCACTGCCCAACTTCTGAACACAAATGATTTCCCGTCGCTGGCTTCCATCCCCGCACTGGACATTACACTGAAGAAATACCTCACGTTAGTCAAATAGTAAAGCAATAATAGAGTACTGTTCTGTTTTCCTCCAAAAGCTGAGAAACATAAAATGTTAACAAAATCACAATTATTCATCTTTATTTCACCAGTTAACCAAATGGTGAATGCAAACAGTTTCAATATGAAACTAACATTCTTATAAAATAGAAACTTCGCATCATGAGTTTAATTTTCAACTGAGAGCTAAATGAGGCAAATTCTACGAGTTCTTTATTTACTTGTTCAGAATCCCTTTGAGTTGCATTTTTCACACCACGAGGCACAAAATGTCTTAAGTGAGCTGAAAATCTGAACTTTCAGCATCTCTGACCAAGTAACAATGCATTTTGCAGCAAAACAAACAATAAATACATCAGGATAATCCCAATGTTTATGACAAACACATAAACTACACCTAAAACAAACCAGATGTTTCCTCTCTGCTTTGGCCTGGAGGATGTGAAGTTTAGGAATTTTTCCCAAGGAAACCGATCATTTCGCTTCATTGCTAACACGACAGGATGGTTTTTTTTTTATTTCTTTTTTATCCTTATTTGTTGCTGAATATGCAATTTATCAGATTTTTTTGGGTTCTCTAAAAAATTGACATTGATTTCTGATCTTTATGACATGTATCAGCATTCTTCAAAGTCTGAAATGAGAAAAACTGCAGAAGATGAATATTGTGAAATAACGTGTTTCGCAAATATCTGTGAAGCAATAATGCATTCGCTGTTACAGGTTGAGATTTCAAACATTTTCTATTCATATACTTTCGAGTTTCCAGGCACATTTGACCTCGTGGATGGCAGTCACATTCACTGCTCCTTTTTTTTACATGAAGAATATTATGCTCCATTCTTTTGATTTAGTATCATTTTTCAGTTTTCAAGCATGCAACAGGTTTTCACATTGATGCTGTCATCAGTGTCACCTGAATATGATTGAATACACTAATAAATGTAAAGATTTAATGTCCCACAGTGTTACAAATCCCTTTTATAGATGCATTACAATTGTCAATTCAAGAGCATTAGAAATATATAAAACTGCTTGACACAAACATAGCTGGTCCATCCATCCTACCTCTGTCCAGGGGCTGCTGTACCACATCTTCACTGGCACACAAGGCCCCTTATTGCAGGCCTTCAGCTCTGCTGGTTTTTCGGCAACACAGTCGCCCCCTCCTCCTCCATCTCTCACCCCTCCCCGGGTGAGACACACCACCTCTCTCTTCTGCACCCCAGGGCCGCACTGTGCTGAACACTGAGGCCACAAAGCGGGAGACAATGTTGAAGGTCACAGCAGAGAGCGTACATGTTCCTCCTTTTCTCTGTGTGCTACTCACAGTGTTGGACCAGTCGGTGAAGTACCAGTTGGTGACGCAGGGCCCCATGTTGCACTCCTCGCTTCCATCTGGGCGGAGCCGAGAGTTGCACTCGTTATCGTTCACAACGCTGCCCTGATCGCTGACGCAGCGCACGCTGCGTGTTCTTCTTCCCATGCCACAGTCCACAGAGCACTGATGAAGAAATCACACGTTGAGTTTACTTGGACTGTTCCAAAGAGTCATTATGATGCCATTCAGCTCTGTTCTCTATTAAGAGCTTGCCTTGATTTATGGTGCGACACTGTGACATTACGTTTCACATCAGTCGACATCGATAACTAATAATTCGTTTTTTGTTGTCACCTTTCCTGATTTAGCCAGTCTTCACTCCGTTGCTTATTTTTAAGCACATATGAGGCACGGTGGTTTTGTTAGTTTGTCAGTTTATTTGTACCCCCATTAGCCATTGCCATGACAACGGCTAATCAACCTGGGGTCCACATCATAACCCCCCCAACAAAAAAAGCTTAATTACAAAAACTGTTACACACACTTAATATAACATCAGTAACATAGCATATCAATTTATAAATGTACAATTATTACACATTATATGATAAAATAATTAAATAGTACAATCATAGCAGAATTATGACACTTTATTCAAACAAATAATTAAGCAGGGCTCTTTGGTGAAACCTTGAATTGCTGCTGTGAGCAAGTCACTCAACATGTTGTTGAGTGACTTGTAACTTGTGGTTACAAGTCACTCAACATGTTGTTGAGTAACTTGTAACTTGTGGTTACAAGTCACTCAACAACATGTTGAGTGACTTGTAACTTGTGGTTGCAAGTCACTCAACATGTTGTTGAGTAACTTGTAACTTGTGGTTACAAGTCACTCAACATGTTGTTGAGTAACTTGTAACTTGTGGTTGCAAGTCACTCAACATGTTGTTGAGTAACTTGTAACTTGTGGTTACAAGTCACTCAACATGTTGTTGAGTAACTTGTAACTTGTGGTTACAAGTCACTCAACATGTTGTTGAGTAACTTGTAACTTGTGGTTACAAGTCACTCAACATGTTGTTGCTCGGTAATCAAAGAGTTGATGCCAGTCATTTTATTTGGCTGGCTGTGAGAGGCTGAGTGGATAAAGTCCTCTGCCGACATCCCCCAGAATGCCGCTCGGTTCTGGATCGGCGTTCAGTAAAATGATTGAAATCCTATCAGGCGCATTATCTGTTGATTTTGGTCATGTATCTACCGCGATATATGTCAGATTATCATGATAATTAGTGAGGCTCCTGCTCCCTCGCTCTCTCCCCGGGTGACTCTCTGGGTGTCAATAACACTATTGATTTACTGTGCAGCCCCACAGGTGAAATTTGAGTGAAATTAAAGCTTTGTTTTTGTTGACCCACCGTGCTCCAGTTGGTGCTGACCTCCCAGTGGGAGCAGAGGCGGAGCTGGCAGACCTGCGTGGAGTCAGGTTGGGTGAGGTGGGCGCAGCGCTGAGGGTGGACCATGGTGGAGCGAGACCCAAAGCTCTGCCTGCACTGCAGCTGCCTCTGCTGCACACCAGGCCCACAGGACACGCTGCACTCCGACCACGCACTGGCCTCCCAGCTAACAAACACACAACACACACAGGGAGTGTCTGATATTGAACGTTTAACTTGGAGAAATTACAACGAAGAACACTTATTTTTACATATTCTATTTTAGTCTGCATAACTCGTGAGAAGATTGTTTTAAAAGCGTTTATCACATAAAATGACAATAAATACATTGAACTTTGTGGTTGTAACATAATAAAATGTGAAATAAAAGTGTGAATATGTTTGCAAAGCACTATATAAAGCACAAGTATCAAACTTGAGACGCAGGGGCCAGATCTGGTCCATCATAACTATTTATGCGGTCCTCTAATTACTACAGGGCCGCCTGAACAAAACCAAACAGTTGTGTGCTTAAATATTATTTTAGTCTGTAGTTTTGTTTGTCATGCCAAATTACATTAATGTGAAAAGATGTTAAATATTATTTAATTTTAAGAAATACTCTTCAAAATCATAGACAGCTGTAAAGTATTATTTTTAATAATAATTAGCAGCTGGGTTTTATCAATACAATGTTTCACAGCCTTTTTAATCTAGTGTCCCAAATTGAAATGATTTTAATGCGCCTCACATAGAGCAACAATCTAACTCTAAATAATATCTTAAAAATCGTAATTTTGCTTACAACGGAGGGCAGGGTTGTGTGTTACAGGACTCCTCCTCTGCAGCAGGTTTGGCTGCAGAGTCACAGTTCCCCTCTGCAACTTCTTCCTCTGTGTGTCGGTTCACACATATTACCACTCTGTGCTGGGAACCTGCTCAGAGAGAAAGAATAATAAATCAGGATTTATTCTTAATTGCTCTCGCACTTGCGTACAACAACCTGAGGAGGGAGACATTGTATAATCCAAATAATTACAAATAACCAGGCAGATGTGTGTAAACTGTAAATGAGATTATCTACCTCTGCCACAAGTCGCAGAGCATTCGGTGATGGTGCCTCTCCTCCACACAAACGGCAGCTGGGTGTCCGGCGGCAGGTCAGTCCGAGGGGGGATCCGAGCGTTTCTATTGGGCGCGGATCCCCGAGGGCGTGTCCTGTCAGGTGACCAGCGATCAAAGGACGGAGGGGGGAAGGCAGGCGAGGAGGCCGAGGAGGACGACAAGGAGTGGAAAGAAGGATCTGACACTGGAGGAGGGTTTTCTGCTGACACTGTGAGGGAACCTGGGAGAAAAGATAAACAGAGATAAATAAGGAATGGCAGGAAAGGTGGAGGAGAAGTTAGAAAATAGATATATAGAGGAAAAGAAATGTGAGAGACAAAGTGTGTGAGGAAAAAAGCTAAACATGCTGAAATATGTGGAATAGGAGGAAGGCGAAGTGAGTCAGTGGATAATGAAATCACTATGAGGTCAGGGTCTCATGATGGCAAACATGTTGTGCTGATAGCCTTGCATCTGGGTCAAGGGCAAACAGACACATGAAAACACGCTGGAACAAGAATCCCACCCACACGGCCCACAGCCTCGCCCGTCCTAATCCAACGAGGCATCAATCAGAGCTCACAGCGACACAGCCTTGAGTAATTTGGAAAAAGTGACTCCCTGTGCTGCTCTGTTTGATTTAAACTGTCTCACTTACTGAAAAGAAGAGTAAATAAGTTAAAAGCAGTTCGTCTTACCGCGAAGCGGGGCCCTCACTGGCTCCTGCTCCCTCGCTCTCTCCCTGGGTGACTCTCTGGGCTCCTCGTTCTCCGGCAGCCTCTCCTTGTGTTTGTCTTTGTTCTCCACCGGGACGTAAAACTCGTAGTCGACGCCGGGGTTATCCTTCTGGTAAATGATCTGGATATGAGAACAAACGTGGCAAACACGGAAACGTGGGTGTCAGCGATGCCCTGCCCAGGATTTCATCGTGATGCTGCAAACCGTGCAGCTCCACTCCAACAGTTACTTTAATTTAAGAAACTGTAAAGCAACTTCATCTGACATATTTGGCAGCTGACTTTGATGTGAATAAATGAAACGAGCTCTGGGGTTTATTAAAATCTCTGGGTGAGGCTGTTAATATTGAGCCCTGGGCAGTATGATGTGGTTTTAGGCTAAGCTTTAATGTAGCTGTCTGTAAACTGTCGTAATGCTTAAACTTGGCTGTCCGGACCCTCAGCAGATGAGCATCACACAATCTTTTTAATACTATATCTCAAGTCCCTAAATCACTTTAATTACCCTTCTTCCTCCATTTTCAGTCATTTACCTCCACTATTATTTATTACAGAGCAAAAAAGGCAAAAAACTGCATGCCTGGTCAAATACACTATGACTACTGTGTGCTCAGTTCCCTCTCTGAGGGAATCGACTCCATCCTGCTTCATCCACAAACCTTCATCTGTATATAATCTGCATCTTTTCACCTTATTGCCTTACTTAAAGGGACAGTATATATTTGATATTAAAGTCCTTATTGGGGTCATGAATTAGTTTTATCATATAAAGATACAAGTGTTGTGTTTTTTGAATCCGCCTCTTCTGTATAAGATTACTAGAATTGTTTCTCCAGGGCACCAATAGCAAAATTTTATTTCAAACTCTTTCAGTCTTCTTGAGCTCCTGTCACAGCAGTGGCCTGCTTTGTGTTTATTTGCAGGGTTGAAATAAATGCCTTCCTGTGCTTCAATGCTTACATAAAGCTGCAGCTGTGTTGTGGTGGGTCCCCGCGCCCTCAGGGACTCGCCTTTCTCTTCCTCCCCCTCCGCCTGTGCTCTGGGTTGGGTGTAGGTAAAAGTAGTCCCACCGGCCTGGTAATCTCCTGGAGCATCGACGGCCCAGCCCCCGTTCACCACGGACGCCCCGGTGCCGCTCCTTATCGCTGGGGGAAATGAAGCGGGAAACGGCAGACAGATTCAGGAGAAAATTTACTTTCCGCATTTAGAGCCGAGTTAAGCCTGGCCAAGTCCTAGAAGCCCCTTCCTCTGTTCAAACACACTCCCAGACAGACAAACAGGAGGCGGCAGAGACAAACATACACACACTTCACTGATTCCTTACAACTCCAGCAATACAAGCTGTACTTGGCCTAAATCTGCAAGACCACAAACTCCAGAGTCTTAAATGAAGCCAGCACACACACGATCACAGGCCAAAGCTGCACTTTGCTCACCAACACTTCACTTATAACTGGATCTGCAGCCAGGCTGGGGAATCAAATCTCAAGACGCACGAGTGTGAGTGTGTGCAGGAATTTGTATGTCTGTTAGATCTCACCCAGGTAGTTGGGGCTCGCTCGTCTCTCCGTGATGGTAATGAACGTGGCTCCCGCCGGGATGTCCACGATCTTGTGGTAGCCGAGGGGAACGGTGCCATTTGGTAAGCTTCCAGTTACCTTTCGACAGGAGCGGTCCCGCCCGCCGCACACTCCACACTTGTCGATCACAGCACTGGAACCCAGAATGCCATCACAACCTTCAGTCTGGTGGAAGACAGTGGGGGAAAAACAGATTCAGTGACACTGAGGGAAATGCTTGTGAAAGAGGGGCCTAAAATGCACAATTTTCCACTTTTGCATCTTCCCACTCGGGTCTCAACTGCTTGTAAAAGTGGTGCTTAAAAATCCGTCAAGTCGTTTTGGTGGCAACAAGTTGATTTTAGTGTTTTTCAGTATCTAGAAAATTACCTGTTTTAGAAACCTCATGACTGTTAAATCACATTTGTTGAGCACTGTGCTGTTACATAGCAACCCCAGTCAAATCCAGCCCTGTTACCTCGCAACCTAAGTGAAGCTCCACCATGTTTGGTCGCTGGTTTTACTGCTGAATGAGTTGTAAAACGGCTGGTAAAATCTGTTTTGTTGTTAACTTACCATCCAGAAACCATATGTTGTATTCTCGTTGGTTATGCAGGAGGCCCTACTTCTGCTTTTCGAAGATGTGCAGTTGTGTAATTGCGCATCTGTTTGCAGGGATTTTCACATGCGAGTGTGAATGCTGAGTGCCTGGTGCCTGGTCAGCAGCAACTTATTTGGATTTAAAGTGACATTAGGAACTAAAACATCTCATTCTGAAAGAAGCTCAAAATAGGCAGAATGGACACGACTAAAATAACATTGATTTTGTGCAAAAAAAAAAAATGTAATGGACATGTTTTCTATCGCCCATATTCCTATTCAACCTGTTCAATAAGGTATAATAGGTAACCTTTAACAAATCACATCCAATTTTAGTGTTTATGTCATTCTTAGTTGTGTAAATTGGTAATTAACGCCTGCAAGATTCCTGCCAGATGCAGCGAAGTGGAATGAGGGTGAAATCAGAGAGTGGGAGCGTAAATGAGAGAGAAGACACAGAGAAAAGAGGCCCTTTAAGAGGGCTGTCTGAATCTGAATGGCAGGCTTAAATCAGCATCCAGATGTGAGACAGACATTTTCGGACAGCCAGGTTCTGGTTTATTGCAACCATGGCGAGACAGTTGGGTATCACGTTCCGACACCTGAAAAACAATCTTCCACGCACAAACAGCTGAATTAACTCACCAGACACTGTCCCTCCACACACACGTCGTTAGCACTAGTGTTGAAGCAGGGCGTGCCGTCTCTGACCCGCTCCGCCAGGCGAACATAAAACCGATAACCGACAGGTCTGCAGGTCAGCTCGCACTGCTTCTCCAAACCAGCTGCAACGCACAAGCAGAGATATCGCCACATTTTACATTCCAATAATAAATACTTACTATCAAAAGAAATCAGGATAAATCTAATTGAAGTTTGTGGATTCAGGGTTAATGAAATGTGGAGACGTTCAAGAGGAACAATGCAAAAACACAGAATGTTACCAAGTACTTTTGCTCTAGTTTCTAGCATCATGTACTCTTGATGTAAAACAAACCTAATGTACAAGTAACTTTTCAGCAACATACTGTCACGAGTCATAGATTTTAATCATTTCTTTATAGTCTTAATATAAATTAGTAATAAAAAGTAGTAGTTGAACTGGCAATTTTTTTTCACTTATGGAAAAAATGTCTTGTTATAAGTGAAATAATCTGCTAGTGAAACTTGAACTTGTTCTGCAACATTTAGGAATTTTTGATGTACAAAAGCTCCTATTTCTTACTGGAAAGCTTCTCAAGTTATTAGTTTTGTCTTATTTCAAGTGTACTAAGATATTTGAACTGGACACTAGAACAAAAATACTTGGTAAGATATATTTTTTTATTGCTTTTTCTTTTTATAACAGTGTCTTAGTCAAGACAATGTAGAAAAACTCCATTCGAGTCATAAATGCCTTCCAAAGCAAGCCAGGAAAGTGAGAGTTGACCATATAACCTTCAGAAAGCCAGATATTGATCATTGACTCCCCACGCTGCGCAGCTCCCCAGCAGAAACATACATATTCACAGGAGAGTTGTAAACATGAGGGTGGATTTATGAGTTCAGCTGAAAGCAGAGGGAGCTCAAAGAAAAAGAGGAGGAGGCAGGAATCAAAGAACGGAGCACAGCTCAAGGTTAGGGAGGAAATAAAAGCCCTTCAGTGACAAGAGAGAAGGTTGACTGTGAGTATGGAGGACCCCACAGGGAAAGAAGCAATTCAAGCAAATAGTATGAAGATATTTTTTACGCTGTGACAGATCTGGTTCTATGTTCCCCAAAGCATTTACTGCAAACACGTGTGATGAACGTTTTGTCCCAGTTTTCATAGACGATGTGGAACTATTTCTTCAAAAAAGGACATTAAAGAGCGGACAGGAAAGGGCAGCGAGTGGCTAAATTGATGGCTGTTTTCTTTAAGGAAAGATATCAGGGAGTGTAACGGGTACTAAAGTCCTCATGCAGGCAGAGCAGATGTGTGTGTCCACAGAGCTGTGATTATGTTGCAAGAAATACTGCTGCAGACGCAAACTCGCTGCATGAGTCACGAGTCATAGATTAAGCTAGCGGTGGGAGAAAGGCACGTCTCTGCTTCTGAGTGCGACCTCTGACTGTTTTGGGGTGTATTTCTTACAAACAACGACACAAATGCAAATACTATCACGACATGTTTGCAAAGTTTGCAAAGAGCCTCATTCAAAGCAGCTCTGGAAACCACTGGATGGGAAACTGTTTTTACTTCAGACACTTAAAATCACCTCTGTAATAACTTTGTCATGTCTTTGACATTTAGGAGAGCTTCGCCATGAAAACAGAACGCCTGCCATCTTGAATAGTCATCAGCCACAAGGAGGTTAAAGTTTCCATCTTCTTTAAAGTCAGAAGTTCAAAAGAGTTAGCTGGGAGCAAAGTGTAAAGGGCACATACCTGACCTCGGCTTTCACCTTGTAGGGCTGAAGGATCTCCATGTGCTTCCACACAATCTCCTAATTTCTTGATGTTTCTTAAATCAGCAGAAGACTTTGCAAAGGTGTAATACCAGTGCAATACTACAGCTGTACCTAAAGGTTTTGAGACTTAAAGGAAACGTCACTGCGTTCGTTTTTATGGGAACAGGTTGCAGTGATCAAATCAGGTTTTAGTGCTAGTACATCCAAGACCTAATTTGGAGTGTAGTTAAGCAATGGAAGAAGAGGAAATGCTGAGATAATTTTGATGAGCTCAGGGGAATCTTTTAACGGGGACAGAGCTGATGTCACTCATTCTGGTTGAGTTAGAGGGAACAGGATGGTTGCACCTACAATGAATTATTTGTACAGTCATGAACTTTAAGCGGTTGAACTGCTGTGGAGAGGGCACAACAGAAAGTCCAGGAAGTGTCATGAATGTCACCCAAAAAAAGATTCAGCGGAGGGACTGGTTTACCACCAGTGCAGAGCTTGGCCAACATCGGCAGCCGGCATTTGTGACCATTTCTGCACAGACAGTGAGGCCAAGAGGCTAAATGGGTAGCAAAGAATAAACTGTTTTCCAAATAAAACACAAAAGAGAAAATACCAGGTTTGGACTGCAGAGCCTAGAATATGGTAAAGTTGTTTTCTCTGAAGATGCCCCCTTTAGTCATCTGGAAAAACATTTCTCCAGTGAAGAAAAGATTAATGCCTCTGTGAGTTATGCTGACAGTGACGCATCCTGTTGCAATTCATATGTAGGGTTGAGCATGGAGATGAAAGATAGAGTGATTTTATCTTTAGGTGAGTCCAGTCACTTATCCAAAACAACATGATTCATTAGGCAAAGGAAAAGTAAAGCTTTAGCGAAATCCAGAACAAATCCTTCAAGAGATGTCCTTACAATCTGACCAGATCTACTGTGAGGTAAAGTGGACACATCAAATGATGAAACTGAAGCAAAATGTGCTTCAAATTGTACGCAATCAAGCGATTACAACTTTAAATTCTTTTATATTGTTTCCAGTTAAACTATAAATATGTCATAAGAAAAATTAAACACATTTTAAGACATTTGTTTTACCAGCCCTAAAAGGCGCCCTGCATGTTTTAACACACCTGACTCATGCAAAAATCCTGTTAATCAGTTATTGACTGAAATCAGTTGCGCTGAAGCAGGAAACATCTATAACATTCAGGGCAGTGTGCCTTAAGGACCAGGGTTGGAAAAAAAACGCTTTATCTCACAAACCCACCATTTTAGCAGAAATAAGAAAAACTTTTATGCACAACTAGAGTCATGAATAGGGATAGAAATGCTTTACCAGATAGCAGGGGTAAGTCAAACAGGATTTCATTGATGCATTCAGCATTTTATTGTTTTATTCATTGCAAATGTTCATTACTAAACAAGCTCTGGACAGTTCTCCGGAAAATATCTTTTGGCATAAAGATGAGTCCTGCTGTGAAACACAAAAGTTACGACCCACAGCACAGACGAGTCCTCGACTTAAAGCTGGCTCAACAGTTTTTCCAGCCTCAGACTATTAAGTTCATTAAGAAGTGTGTTTAGACTAAATGGAAGTGGGAAGGAGTTCATTCACAGAGGGCAATGTACCTGGATCGGATGTTCATAATCACACAACTTCGTAAAAAAAACATGGGCTGTAACAAGACCATCAGATAGCTTGTAAACACACTCTGAAAAGGAAGTGTTGATTCAGCACATGTAAACATTTCCTTTAAGATATTTAAACAGCTCAGTGACAGGATTACGAATGACACGATTCAAATATACGACCGGGGCTGGAATGACAACAATTTCATACCAAAATATGAACAAAAAATAAAATCGCAAACTCCCTGGAGTCATCTGTGAAGCAAAAACAATGCCAGCTCCAAAATATACTAAGAGTTGGTGAATAGATGAAATCCAGAAATCCAGTTGCTCTCACAAACACACACATTTATCAGTAGGCAACTTGGGGTGAAGAGCTGATCAACATGCGACAGAATATCGTTCGAGACACCGCCGCTGCTCTCGCTCATTTACAGGAGATGTTTTTAGTCTGATTATTTCTCTACTGAAATTTGGACTTTGTAAACAGAGACGATTGGCTTTCTATCCTCTGACGTACAGAAAAGATACAGGAAAGAGGGATAGTTGATGCTTGTTCCCTCCATCCATCTGTAAAAGTTATAGACCGTTAAACCCATAGCTGCTGCAAAATGAGAAAGGTTGTTTCTCACATTCTCCATCTCTTCAAATCATGCTTAACCAAATCTCAACTTCTGTTCTCATTTAACTTTTTTCCTCGAGCTTTATCTGTGACTCATCTCATCTTCCCTCGTTTCCTTGGATTTTCCACCATCCTTCTGTCCGTCTCTCAGCTTAGTGTGCAGAAGGTGAAATACATGTTGTCTAAATATACTTCCCCACTATCAGACCATCTAAACAAACCCCTGCAGAAAGAGCGAAAGAGCGAGGCAGCTGGACAGGAAGAGAGGAGGATGGGTGTCCAGAGATGGGACAGGGACTGGAAAAAGAGGTGATGTCAAAGTAAAACAACACCTGGGCAAGGAGTGGTGACAAAAGGCCTAAAGGATGAGGGGTTATTAATCAGAGACACCATTTCTATGTAGATTTAGTGCACTAATGCAAAGATCAAGTCAGTACCAACTATAAAACACTCAATCTACCTCCTCAGACTGACGACAGGAGGCCCGATGTGAAAGGTTTGGGCTCAGGCAAGTCTTCATAAGCTAAACAGTTTACTATAGAGACAGAAAGAAAATTGTTCCATGCTCAAATCTAGTGATGCTGCCAGTTCTTTATCCAGTAGAGCCAGTAAATATACTAGATGGCTTGTTTTATTCAAAGACTCTCATAGTAATACGTTACAAAAAAAACACCTCAATATTTCCCAATCGTGCTGAGTCACCTTTTTGTTCAAGCAGACTTTAAAGGGACAATTCAGATTTTTGAAGGTGGTTCTGTGGAGTAGTCACTAGTAGTTAGTACCTTAACTGTCATATGCAGATGTTTTCTCAAAGTTTTTAGCAGGTAGACATTTTCACTCAAGAAGGCTAATTTTAACCCATTTAAGCAACTCTAACTCATATGATCTGCAGTCATATTAGATTATTGATTAGATTGGCATATTGTGTTTGAAATGGCTCACACCAACATGAAATGTTGAGTTTAAATGGTTTTACAGGCGCTAGTCAGTCTGACTGTTAGCTTTCCTTTGGTTGTTTTTATCACTTAAACAAAACGTCTGTCTGCAGAAAGTAAGATACTGACCACTCATGCCTATTCCACAGTACCCAGGTTTAAGAAATAAATGGTTAGTCTAGTAGCATAATTATCTAAGTCCTATTTTTCAAAATAGGCCAATATGGATTTTATATTCTGTTTTGTCAGATGTTGCTTTTTCAATGTGCTCAGTTAAAAATATTGAACTCATTTAAGATCTTATTTAAATTTTAACCATTTGTTCCCTTTTCTACATGAAGAACGTTTAATATCTCAAAGTTACTTGGTTTAACAAAGAAAACATATTTTAAAAGCAAAATTTGGTCATTGAGAAAAAGTGAGTAAAAAAAGGAGCCAAAGTAAAAAAAAAAGTCAAGTTCTGAATCAAGACTATTTTAAGGGAACACAAGGTCTGACAAAACATAAAAAATGAGGGGTACCTTTACACTCTTACTCAGTTTTTAATAAGGGAAAAGAGTAATTTGTTGAACAAAACCGACAATAAAAGTTGGTTTTGGATCACAGTGATGTTCTTACAGCATTTATTGTCAGACTGTTGAACTAGTGCAGAGAATAAAACTGATTTATTTATTCTTATTGCGCCACTAGTTCATTGCTATTTATTACAATCATGCATTTGCCATGACCAGCTTTACACAGAGCATCAAACACTCATTCTGCCAAAACGGCTCTGACATCCAGTGACATGGATCTCTGTGCCAAAACCTTCTGGCACAGAGCTACTGGGAGTTGATGCTTTCCATTGTCATTCCTGCTTGCCTGAGGAAATATCTGCTTTTAGAGTCTAAATCTTCCACTCTTCCTGGACAAAAACCTAAAGTAACATCTGGCCTTTGTTTAAAATGGGAAATAGTACAATCTGCATTCAGTCCTGCGTCAAATGACTCCGCAGTAGCCGGGAGCATTCATCAGCTGGAGTTCAGCTCGCAAACCATATGTAGGCACCAGGATGACAATACAAAACCTGGAATGGAGAATATGTGAATCCTTCAGCTTATTTTAATGCTAAGAAACAACAACAAACAAACAGGCACACATCTGGTAAAATGCTAACTTTGTTAGTGTGAGGAACAGGTGGCGCAGAGAAGGTTTATTGCTGCTATTTTCCATGAAAACAGTTTCTTTCTGCAGCCTGGAATGAGACTGGAGGGAGCCATGAGCCTGATATGCGGCAGTCCTGCAAGATGGAAAACGAAGATATGTGGCTGACACTTAATAAAACACGGAAAGGGAGGACTTAATTGGGTCATTTTATCTGATCCACTGCTTACAAAAAAAATATTGACTGCAGCTCTTCAACTGCAAGTATTTAAGCAGCATCAGGTTCCACTTTTTAGCAGAAAATTGTGTTTTTGTTACACACTCTACTGGATATCTGGTTTCAATTTCGTGCAACGCGTTTATTTGAGGGTAGATTGGTGAGTGTGTTTTATGTTATGACAGAGCAGAACCAAAACCGAAGGTGTGTATGCAAAAGCTGGGCTTCTGACTCTCTGCTCTTACGGTGTTTGTGTGTTCACAGCTTCGGCTTTACTGACACGGTAAAATCCCAAACGACAGACACACAAACACACACGTGCAAACTATTTTCCCACATGTTATCCCAGGTTCACACAGCTATCCACATGCAGAACGCCCTCGCCATTACGCCCATGATGTAAATACACAGGAGATCATGCACATGCTTCATAAGCCTCATGACAAACACAACTGAGATCATCTCACAGCTGCGTTTAACTCTCCCTCCCTCCTTTCGCATTTCTTATAATCTTTCTATTCACTCTTCTTTTTTTTCCCTAAAATTCCTGAAATATCTATAAAATGCTTTCTCTGTCTCTTGTTTCATTTCCTCCAGCATTGCAAAAAAAGGAGACATGTATAGAAATTTGGAATAGGACCCACTTTGACTCTTGCATGCACAGCGTATTGCAAAGTTTTTTATACACAGTTGCGCTGTGTTTACTCAATCCATATTTTTTATCACCTCTGATCATCTTTGCTGCTAAAAAAGAACTGAACCCACACCAGGACACAGATACCCTCATATGGGAGCTCTGCATATTTCAGTGCTGCATATTCTTCTAACTCAGACTGATTAGAATCTGTGGACATCAACTTTCAAGGTTTGAAATAGATTTGTTATTGAATTTAGGTCTGGGCTTTGATTAGGCCATTTTTTGGGGGCTGTTCTGCTTTGGAAGTTTCGGATAGCCTCCACCTAATTTCTCTTCCTTGTTTGTACCGAAGTCAAGCATCTCACCGCATGATTCTGCTCAACCCAGTGGTTGTGATGAAATGATAAAAATATACAGCTCTGGAAAAAATTAAGAGACCACTTAACATGATCAGTTTCTCTGATTTTACTATTTAGATATATGGTTGAGTAAAATTATCTTTGTTCTTTTATTCTATGAATTACTGACAACATGTCTCCGAAATTCCAAGGAAAGAATTTGTATTTATTTATTTCAGATCTCAAATAATGCAAAGAAAAGAATGTCATATTCATTTAGTTACAAGAATTTCAATGTTTTAACTCAGGAAGAGTTCAGAATCAATATCTGGTGGAATAACCAAGAGGTCTTCAATGGTGTTCAATGATAATGCTGAGATTCAATGCAACCACTCGCAATGAGGACATGTAGCGTGTCTGCTGTTGTCTGTGACAACTGGCTCATAAAACTTGTTGGCATCCGTTCAGAATGTGGGAAATAAAGAAATTTGACAAGAGAAATGTAGGCGTAACTATAGAATATCAACCGTTTTCGGACAGAGTGTTCAGATACAACATGGTCCACAGAGTACCCACAGAAGGCCTAAGTATGTGAAAGCAGTTTCATTTTTTTTGCAACTGTGCCTCATATGGTCATGTCATTAGATTGGCAGTGCATTGGATATTTAATGCAAAAAAACTCTACTTAATAATTATTTAACATCTGAAAGAAACCAGTTCCTTGACCTTTTTTTAAGGTTATCAGGATAAAGCTAACTGCAGAGAGAAATGTGTGCCGGAGTTTAGAGAGACTGTTTTTGTAGAAAAAAAGCAATGTGTGTTGGTCTGTCACCTAAAATCCCCTTGTCTGCGGCTACAAAGTCACAAAACGTCAGAAGGTTCAGGCAGTACTTCTTTTAAAAGACTGCTTGTAAAACCAAAACCGAGCAACTTCTAAGTTGCCCCAATTTTGCTTCCACTAGTCGTGTGACACACACATCTCATCATTGCTCTTGTGCTCTTTATCTCACGCTGCAGGAATCTGCGTCCTCCGTCAAAGCAGGGAGGAGACGTTTGGCAGGAGAAGCGGGCAGAGAGGGGGAGATGTTGGACAAACAAAAGGAAAAAGAAAAGGAGCAAAATATTTTGTGCAAAGAACAGAAGTAGATTGAGCTCCAATCATTTGCTTTTCTCGTCTACTCCCTTTGCTGTCGGTGCTGTGTGGAGAACTGGGGGATGCTGGGGGGGCTGGGCATGAGAGGACGCCTTCCAACTCACATTCATTAGAGAGAAATTTGAACCCACTCAAGCTTACATTTTACTCTCTCCCTTGCAGTGCCAGTTAATTCTCCCCATAAACCTCTTACCGAATTAAAGCAAGGAAACGCTTTAACAACTGTGCGAGTGTGTTAACTCGGTGCTCACCTTCAGTGAAAGGCTCCCAGTTGTAGAGGCGACCCATGAACTCCTGGTTGTTAAAGGCCGAGCACTGCTCTGCTCTGGAGTCCAACGCACCTCCTCCACACACCTGGAGGGTCAAAACACAAAGACAGAGAGGAGGGGGGAGTCAAATAATTTAGTGCCACACACTGAACAAATATGCGTCGCTACCAAAGAAAAGGCCATTTCTCCACTGCTTTCCGGAGGAGTCGTGGTGGAGTGGATCGAGTGGCAAGGAAAAAACATCTAATCATGAAACCGGAGAATTAACTGGAGGCCTCGGAGGTAGGCACAAACACACCATGATTTTACACACATGCAGCCTGCATGCTGCTTTGGCCAGCAGCGAGCGCATTCACAACATATGGAAGTGATAGATTTTCTTGGAACGGCTGCTCCCATAAATCTGCTGGGAGTGAATGACTGTCTGAGGGCTTGCAGTGGCGTGCGTGTGTGTGCACGAGGGCCCGGCGCTCATTCAAGAAGTCCTCATGGAGCCGTGGAGATTCAGGATACCTGCTCATAAACAACAGCTGAAAAATTAGGCTGACATGAATCTGCCGGACTGTAAATTCCTCGTTTCCACTTAACAGTACAGCACAGTCTGGTGCAGTTCTATACACTGCTTTGTCAGTCTCCGTTGAAAAAGCGACCCATACCGCACCGTTCCTGGGCCCCCGAAAGCCGTAGGTTCACACAACGTGAGTACGGAACCACTTTAGTGGCGCCACTGGTACAACACAACCCAGTCAATTGATTGGGGAATAGAAAAACATCACTGGGCTGGGCAATAAATAAATCATACATATCACCATAGACATGTGATCAGTGATCAGTATAAATAGAAAGTACATCCGATATAAAGTTCAATAATTTCAAGCTTTCATGGCCAGTAAAGAAAGGCTAGTGGCATTTACTATCTCACTCACTGGTTATCTAGCAATGACTTACTGAGTGACCTGTTGAGTACCTTGTGCAGCAGCAGTTTCAGGTTTCACCACTATGCCTCAAAAGTGCTTAAAAATAATAAAAAAAGATTCGCACAACAACTCAAGAGGAAACTGCAGATAAGACAGGAGAGTCACGTCAACAGTTTGGTAGTATTTCAGATATTTAAAAGAAAAAACTAATCAATAAATATTGACAAATATTGGCACATGAAATGCTTATATTGTGATATGTTGTTCCAACCATATGGCCCAGGCATACAAGTTTCTTACAGAACTTTGATGTGGTATTAAGCAAATAGTTTTTGAATATTTCACCAGTGAAGACATATTCAGGTAGCACCGTGGGAAGCCAAAACCGTTGGCTTCAACACAGACACACAGACGTTGGCATACCGCACACAAACATCTCAGATTTCTTTGCACCTCTAATCTCTGTCAACTATGAAATCTTCTTGTCTTTAACCCCTCTCCGTCTTTGATTTGTTCCGTTTTTGTCTTGCCCCCCACCTCTTAACTCACACAGCTGTCGCAAACAGCTGGAAACTTCTAAGCTATCCATTGTGCAGGGACAAGAGAAAGAGAATTATCGAGTCTCTACATACATGATCATTCACAGACGAAGCGGGTCCACAGTTCCCATGTGAACCAGCTTCAAAGTGTAGCCAAAAAAACTCTCGTGGGTAAAACACTAGAATGTGTACTCGCTGACACTCGGCGCGCTGGATTCATCCCTCTCACAGGAGTGTTTGGAGGAATATATGTGGCTAATGTGTCTCATACAGTCAGCTGTTCTTACAGTGTGTGAAATGAACTGAAGAATACTTTACATAGAAAGGTCTGTGAAAGTCTAATTCTGCAGAAATAAACTGATTTCTGTGCAGGAGACGTTGTTACAGCTCATTTAACAAAGCGACTCTGACTAAAGCCAGGAGTGAACCCGGATCCTTCAGGGTCAGCGCACGTATGTGACCTGATGTATCAAAGCATCGTGTAAATCCGCCACGATTTACACGATGCTTGTAAATATTTCTGCAGGACATAAACATGCAGAGACACAGTTAATCCTCCATAGCGTCTCACGGCAAGTTTGAGTGCTTGCAGCAGCAAACACAATAAAAAAACAAAAACTTTAAACAGGCGTGCAGCTGTGCAATACTGCGGCTTGTTGAAAACCCGAAAAACAGACTCCACAATAGGCACAGAATCAATGTAAAAGAAAAGAAGGAATGCAAGAAGACTCAAGTGTGTGCAGTCATGCAGATGATGACAGAAGTGCAATAGTTTGAATAGACCCCCCCCCCAGAAGAGTTTAGGGTGTGCGAAAACATCAGGAGGCTAATGGAGAGCATGGAAGGACGAAGGAGGGACGGTGAAGGGAGAGTAAAAACAGATTCCCTTCAGTGTCATGGTACTGCAGAAGAATCTGTGTTATTGCAAAGACATGTATGCTGGGAGTAAAGGGTGAGGGGGGTCTTTATTTATGCTAAGGAGAGCATGAACAGACAGAGAGGAGTGGGGTGCAGGGTAAAGGTACTTACTGAGGCAGATAGCGGGGCCCCTCAAGGCGAGCAACGCTTCCACAAAGCAAACGCTTTGGTTCACTGTGTTAAAGAAAGTGATCTGTATTTATAGCCGCACTGAACAAGGTCCTTTGAGCTCTTCAGAAAGAGTTATTGAAGCCTGTTAAAGTGAGAGTATGACACAAACTCTCCAGAATGTTGTATTTTTTATTATATATATATATATATATATATATATATATATATATATATATATATATATATATATATATATATATATATATATATATATGAGGCAAACTTATCTTTAAAAACAAATCTTAACCTGCAAGCTTTTGGTTCCATTATCCATAAACTGTTTTGTTTAACCAAAATGAAATCAATTCAAACTATTTCCTTTTTGGTAACCTGAGTTGATCACATCAAGGCTCTCAAGACTGACAACTTTTGCTATGGTTTACTATAAACCACATGATCTGCTGATTGTGCTTTTCCTTCATAATCCTCCTTTATCTGAGCAATTTGGAGGTGTTTGCATTTATCTCTAGCTTGGGGAGCGCAACACATATCTGTGTGCACAAGCAGCTTGAACATGGCCCTACACGAATGATTGCTAATTTTATTTGCAACATCATCATCAGGTGTTGCAAGAAGTTATTTGGAGCACTGTCTTTTGGTTTCAAACTGTTTGAGAACATGCTTCCTTTGAGGATGCCTCCAGCTGACACTCACTGAGAGAACGGTGACGATGATAATAATAATAATAATAATAATAATAATAATAATAATAATAATAATGCAGGAACTGGGTTCCAGTCTAAGAAAGAAATTCAAATGATTGTCCTCAAACAGCTTGAGGACATATCCCGTGTATGCAAACATCCCATAATGAATGAGATATTACTGCTGCTGGTCCTGGCTGCACTCAGAGCCTAGATATGCATGATGAACCATCACAAGGCACCACTCACATCATGGGCATGCTCAGAAGAGTTAGGGGAACTCTTGTGACCCTGCCTGCATACTGATGAGCAAAGTAGCTCTTTAATTTGTCCAGGAAGACCTTTTATAAGACACCACTGAGCCCTCAAGCGGGCTATATTTATTTTTCAGGCACATATAATTGTCTTTAATGGAACCAGCGAGTGCAACCAGAGCATCTTGCTTTATGTCAATATGCAAGGCAAGAAAAATGGTTTGGAAGACCTACTTTGATTTTTCCCCTCAACTATCCACAACATGTAGAAGAGGGAGGCTGCACCTCCTCCACATCTGTCCCAAGTGGAGTTTATGTCAAGATAAATCTCAGATAATTACAGCTCAGACACGACGTTTAACTGCAGCAACTCTGCAGCAGACTTAAGTTATGAATATTGGGTTTGGTAAAGCTTTATAAGAACCCCCTGAGTTTATTGTCAAATAAACTTAAAGATCACAAATTGAGCCTGAGCAGAACACAAACAAATCGAATTATGAGAAGCAGGACGTTTTAGTTTACTCAGACAAAGATTGTTTCCCATTTTAAGTTAGACAAATACTACAAAAGGTCAAGAAGACAATTTGATGAATGTTTTCTGGTAAAATTAGACAAATAGAAACCACTAGATATCACCTCTTCAGTTGGAAAGCAGGGAGGACCCTATGTTCCTGCAGACAGATTTCATAGCCTCAGAGCAAAATAGATAAAAAGTAACAAGAGATGAGGTAAAAAGTGTAAAACTGTTTCTGTGGCGACTGAAGGTGAATGAATGAACGTGTAGGCAACGGAGAGCAGGTGAAAGGAAAGAGAAAGCAGCTGGTGAGAGAGTGAACGTTAAAGATGGCTTTTACTGACGGGGAGTCTGCAATATACACCAGCCTGTGAAGCAGAGGGGGGGATATGAACTGGCCTCGGTTGCACAAATACATCCCCACATATAAACACAAAGGCTCCTGACGACACGCAGCACTCCGATGTGAAATACAAACACCAAGTAAAAAGAAAAACAGACAGTGGTGTGACGGATTTTGAAGAAAAGCAGGGACACGCTGCAGTGACCCTGCTTGGTTCTTCACAATCCGAAACCGTCCACATCTGGTTACATTACCTCAGCACCACATACGGGCTGAGGCTGGCTGATCATTCCTCAAGGATTTCTGCAGACAAAACAACTGACCGCAGGTCAGCACTAATATCCGCAGGTCAGCACTAATATCTGCTTGCAAGCACAAAAATCTAGGATGTTTTAATACAAATTCAGTTTTTAACATTCTGTCTGGCTAATCCTGAACGGGCGGCCCAGTGTCTGTAATCTACAGAGGAACCACAGCCTTCAGCCTCGACCCGAACGGGATGTCAGGACTTCTTGAGAAGATAAATAACACATCGATCAACATGGAAACAATCAGAAGCGGAAGGAAGTGGAAGGAAATGTCACTATTGTTCTCAGGAGATAAAAAAAAAGTCTATAATCTCTTAAATGCTCAAGGACGTCTGTGAAAATGCAATAAAATCACATATTAAAAGTGCATAAATATTTTCCTGCTTAATACAAAAATGTTGGATCAGCATGGTGATTTTAATCACTAATAAAAGTCCGACATTTGGTCCCGCCACTGCTTAGACCACATTTTTCGCT